TTCGACGTGTTTGAATCACTACTAATTACAAAGAGGTAATGAATATGACGAAAACTCGATATATTGTATGAGCGTATATATGATCGCTAAACCACATAAAATTAGCTCTAGGCCTACATTTAAAACAAAATGACAGGCCGACAGGACAGGGTTCGCGGTAAATGTTGTACGTCGGACCCGAACCCAGACTCGGACTAAAAGCCCGATCCAGGATTATAAACAGGTCCAGTACACTCTGCCGATTGAGCTATATAGCTGTAAAGACCTATAATAGCTCTATTGACCTATCTGAAATAGGTCTTTTAAGCTATTTTCAAGTGATTTTCTTTTTTAAGGAAAACGAAACAAAGTCGCATTTAAAAGAAGATTGTATCATTAGGTTGATAACAAAAGACATTAAATATAAGTATTCTTTTTAAAAAATAATGATGTAAAAATATCGGAAATTTTACATTTAAGAAAAATGAAAATAAACATCTAGCTCTTTGTAGTCAACATTACCTTAAACCTTATTGTTTTATGCGACTTTGCTTTAGGCCATAATAAATTATTTGCTAGATTATCATCCCCGCCCGCCCCCTGTTTGAGGCCCCGCCCCAATTTTTTTTATTTGCGAAAAAAAACACGAAAATACAAAATCCGGATTTTTTTCTCCGTTTTCCGCTTCAAAAATTAGTTTTATATTATCAATTTCCGGTTGTAGAAAACTCGTCGTCGGCAAGTATGGTTTTTGTAATTCTAAAGCTGAAACGGCAACTTGCTGTTCTTAAAGATTGGTATGGGTGTCCAGTAGCCGATACTAAAACATTTCAGGTCATGAATTAGCCGAAGGAACAATTGACAAATCTGCGCCCATGGAGTGTGGTTACAGAGCCGTTGTGTCGGCCGGTAAATCGAAAGTGGAACTGACCCAGTGTGATATCGCATTTACGGTGGGGGAAGTGGTGTTGTACCTCGGAGCTTATTTAAAATTTAATATTGATGCTGATACAGAAGAGCAGTCGGCAACTGCCAGTGCGAAATCCGACGCATTTACAATTTTAATGTCGGGATTTTATAGAGCAACAATGGCAAGGTCACTGTAATTTAAAGAGGACGATTTTTGGAAAAGTAATGTGGTGTGTATTCATACCAAAAGTTAGTACAGATATATATGTGGACTGAACAGTGAAATGGTGTATACTGCATACTCAAAGTTGTTATTAACAAAAAATAAAGATAAATGTACACTGAACATGCGCCTTTATTGCACTTTTTTAACACATTTGCAACCATTTCAAATTTTAGGAAAAATAAAAAATAAAAAATAAAATTCGCCCCCCCGCCCCAATTTTGAAAAGAATTTGGATGAGAATCTAGCAATTAATTTATTGGGATTTTCCTTTTTAAGGAAAACGAAACAAAGTCGCATTTAAAAGAAGATTGTATCATTAGGTTGATAACAAAAGACATTAAATATAAGTATTCTTTTTAAAAAATGATGATGTAAAAAAATCGGAAATTTTACATTTAAGAAAAATGAAAATAAACATCTAACTGTATGCTCTTTGTAGTCAACATTACCTTAAACCTTATTGTTTTATGCGACTTTGCTTTAATTTAATGAAATTTGAAATCTGAGAAAACATAGCTCAATACAGCTATAATTTATAGGTGTATATAGCTATATAGGTCTTTATAGCTATATAGCTCAATCGGCAGAGTGTACTGGACCTGATAAAGATATTTTAATATCTCGACAACGGAATCATTTACAGCTTTCAAAATGGTCTATAATAACATCAACTATCATCTTCTAAGTGTGACACCTAGAATGACATCGTAAAACCCCACTTGTTTGGCAATATATATTACAGTACATGGTGTACATATGTAAAAATCGGTAACTTTTATATCATTTTCTCAATATTTCATTTGTTTGTACAATTGTAATGCCTTTTACCTGAATAAACATTGTTATTATAATTATTCCTGAAAGTGTTTTTAGTCCGGATCTGGGTACACCGTACAAGATTCAAGTTACCGGAGACAACAGGACAGATAGCTATAGGTCTATGTAATGGGAACACTGGTGAAGCATATATGTACAGGGACCTGGAAATTTGGTGTTCAGAGTATTATTACATGTTTTAGGGGTTAAAATCAACTTTCAGTAAAAATGCAATCCCCAATGCTCGTATGTACATTGTACATCTGTATATAAATCATTTGGGGTGGCGTTTTCACCGAAAGTTGATCTAAACCGGTACCCCTAATACATGTAAAATTACCCTACACACCTTAGTTTAGGTCAAAACATAGCTAGGTCAAAATATACCTGTAACAAATTCTCAGGTCCTTGTGGTGGAACACAGGTACTAAAGTAGTCTTGTCAATATATACACCTATACTGAAAGATGTAGACAGGCGATCGCGAGTTGGAGGCTATAGTGCCTGCGTAGGCTTGAGACACCCGCAGGTCGGAAACTGATCAGAATAAAATCGGCCTATACCAGCTGTTGCTCATGATTAACGCATGACTATGTTGGAACCCCTTGCAGAATTGGGGATTCGCGTATGTGCCCTCTACTTTGAGACACATTCGATGCCCTCTACTTTGGGACACGAACGTGAACAAAAATAATCTGCTGCACCAATTACAATATCTGGGATATTTCTGCTTCTATAGCTACCTATTGTGTCCTGATGCTTTGCTAGGCGATACCTCACTTTTGGCTTCAATGGTTGAACGTCTGTTCAGATGAGGAAGGCAATGGGTTCTGTCATCGTGTTAGGACAATTTTTACTTAAGTCATAAAAAAAAAGTAGTTGTTATTCCCTTCTTTTCATTAAGCAATCGGGGAAATAGCAACAACTGGTTCACTTGTTGTCGGTATAATGCGACCCCGCAGGCGAATGCTATGCTGGGTACCTGCGGCATGGTATTTCGTAGTCTGATTTTCCTCTGGCCCTGACACCAGACTTCGATATTTGACAGATGAATGTCTAAGTTTGGTGTCGGGGCCAGAGAAAACTCTGGCTAAGTAACTAAGCAATGTGGACAAGTGTGATACTATTATTAAAGACTGTAGCTTATTTGGGTTAAATCTAGGCGAAGGGTAATATTTGAAATACATTGACTGGCCAAAACAAAATGTGTTTCCTGTTTCTGCTTATTTTTTTTTAGGGTAGGTAGCTAGGTAGACAACTTTATTTTTAACACATTTTTACTATGATTATTAATATAAAGATTATTATTATAAATATCAATTTAGAGTAGGCACAAAAATCTAGGGTTGGTAGGGAATCCAAAACCCCATTTGTGTTGGCCTTGGGTAAAATCTAGGGAAAAGGTAATATTTGACACGTAGCTTATTTGGGTAAAATCTAGGTGACAGGTACAGTGCAGTGTATTTAAAATGTAGCTTACTTGGGTTAAATCCAGGCAACACAGTGCAGTGTATTCAAAATGTAGCTTCCTCCGGTTTCCTCCCTCACTAAGACCCCCCATGCGCTCACATCTATGTTAGTTGAAATAATTTGTTTTATAATTGTTGTAAAGTAAATAAAGTTTATGTTTATCTATGATATGATGTTGGCCCTTTTGCTGGTCGTTAAACTTGGAAATGATATTTCTTAAGAGTTATGCCCCTTTTGTATTTATAACTTCTTCCAGAATATTGTGTCAAGTGTATCTAATATATTAATGATGGTATTTCTCTCAACTTTGTACATGTGTAGTACCTCCCCGTTAGAGGAAGTTGTGCCCTTTGGCATGACGTCAACTTTGGTCAAAATATCTCAGATTTATATGATTGAAATTTTAATTAGGCCATTTTCATGGGAGTATATTCTGCCCCTATTTACACAAAAAAAACCCAGTATGGGGCAGATATTCTATAATTTTTCACCTGGTGCATCCAGAGTTGGTATGCAAGTACATGTTAGGATGTCAATGTCAAGTACAAAAAGTAGGTCACTGTGGCCTATGGTTTGACCTCTGACACCAACATATGAAAAACATTTGTCTGGTGGCATTTCTTCTATATTCTATACTATTTCACCTGGCGTAACAAGATATGGTATACGATCACATCTGTTGAATAGCAGAGTGTCGAGTACAAAAAGTGGGGTATTTTGACTTTTGTTTTGACCTTTGACCCTATCCTTGTGAAAAGTTTATATGGTGCATATCTTCTACTTTATTTCACCTGGAGCAACCAGATTTCGTATGCAAGTATTTTTTTTCGCTCGCAGAGTACATAAAGTAAGTCACTGTGAGAAATTATTAGTGGTGATCGAGGGACTATGGATTGCTTGTAATACTTTGTATTGATCAAATAAACATGTTCTCAAAGAACTATTCCTGCAGTTCTTGAGGCAGGTAGGGAGTATAAATCTGACATTCTGGCGACAGATCAGTTTTATAGCCTGTTTTTCTCTGGTTGAAAGCTATTATGTTTCGTCAAATACAGCTAGTGTATTTCTTTAACATACCTTCAATGTCATATAGTAAAAAAAAGAAAACTTTTTCTGCTTACCGCCCGCCTTTAAAAACATATATATGTACATAAAGATGTACCCGTTTCAATAAATACTGTTATCTAGATCATGAGAATAAAGATTTGAACTTAGAAACCAGAAACACAGTTTAATTTTCAGGCCGAATGACGCCTTTTTAACTCATTCACAACTGAACTTTCATAATGAACTATTCCAACCTTTGAATTGGAAGAGTTCAAATGTGTCTTCAGGGTGAACAAGTTAATTAGATTAACATGTATACAATGTATACTGTAACAGGAATCTGGGTAGGTTGAATTTATCTTGGTTTTCAGTTTTAATTTAAAGTTAGCATGTTTGTACTTTCAGGGATTGATATAATCAAGCATAATGTGTTTTATATTTCTTCATATTTCAGATATGTTCAGATGTTTTCCAAGCAAGCACATCAGTTCTTATCCTTTAAATCAGTTAAACCAACGAGGGAATGTTCTGATAGAGAGATAAAGAGTTTAGTGACTCCTCTCAGCTAGAGGTACACACCAGGACACATACAGGCCAGGAACCAAACATGTACACGTGTGATGTCTGTGATAAAGAGTTTAGTGACTCCTCTCAGCTAGAGGTACACACCAGGACACATACAGGCCAGGAACCAAACATGTACACGTGTGATGTCTGTGATAAAGAGTTTAGTGACTCCTCTCAGCTAGAGGTACACACCAGGACACATACAGGCCAGGAACCAAACATGTACACGTGTGATGTCTGTGATAAAGAGTTTAGTGACTCCTCTCAGCTAGAGGTACACACCAGGACACATACAGGCCAGGAACCAAACATGTACACGTGTGATGTCTGTGATAAAGAGTTTAGTGACTCCTCTCAGCTAGAGGTACACACCAGGACACATACAGGCCAGGAACCAAACATGTACACGTGTGATGTCTGTGATAAAGAGTTTAGTGACTCCTCTCAGCTAGAGGTACACACCAGGACACATACAGGCCAGGAACCAAACATGTACACGTGTGATGTCTGTGATAAAGAGTTTAGTGACTCCTCTCAGCTAGAGGTACACACCAGGACACATACAGGCCAGGAACCAAACATGTACACGTGTGATGTCTGTGATAAAGAGTTTAGTGACTCCTCTCAGCTAGAGGTACACACCAGGACACATACAGGCCAGGAACCAAACATGTACACGTGTGATGTCTGTGATAAAGAGTTTAGTGACTCCTCTCAGCTAGAGGTACACACCAGGACACATACAGGCCAGGAACCAAACATGTACACGTGTGATGTCTGTGATAAAGAGTTTAGTGACTCCTCTCAGCTAGAGGTACACACCAGGACACATACAGGCCAGGAACCAAACATGTACACGTGTGATGTCTGTGATAAAGAGTTTAGTGACTCCTCTCAGCTAGAGGTACACACCAGGACACATACAGGCCAGGAACCAAACATGTACACGTGTGATGTCTGTGATAAAGAGTTTAGTGACTCCTCTCAGCTAGAGGTACACACCAGGACACATACAGGCCAGGAACCAAACATGTACACGTGTGATGTCTGTGATAAAGAGTTTAGTGACTCCTCTCAGCTAGAGGTACACACCAGGACACATACAGGCCAGGAACCAAACATGTACACGTGTGATGTCTGTGATAAAGAGTTTAGTGACTCCTCTCAGCTAGAGGTACACACCAGGACACATACAGGCCAGGAACCAAACATGTACACGTGTGATGTCTGTGATAAAGAGTTTAGTGACTCCTCTCAGCTAGAGGTACACACCAGGACACATACAGGCCAGGAACCAAACATGTACACGTGTGATGTCTGTGATAAAGAGTTTAGTGACTCCTCTCAGCTAGAGGTACACACCAGGACACATACAGGCCAGGAACCAAACATGTACACGTGTGATGTCTGTGATAAAGAGTTTAGTGACTCCTCTCAGCTAGAGGTACACACCAGGACACATACAGGCCAGGAACCAAACATGTACACGTGTGATGTCTGTGATAAAGAGTTTAGTGACTCCTCTCAGCTAGAGGTACACACCAGGACACATACAGGCCAGGAACCAAACATGTACACGTGTGATGTCTGTGATAAAGAGTTTAGTGACTCCTCTCAGCTAGAGGTACACACCAGGACACATACAGGCCAGGAACCAAACATGTACACGTGTGATGTCTGTGATAAAGAGTTTAGTGACTCCTCTCAGCTAGAGGTACACACCAGGACACATACAGGCCAGGAACCAAACATGTACACGTGTGATGTCTGTGATAAAGAGTTTAGTGACTCCTCTCAGCTAGAGGTACACACCAGGACACATACAGGCCAGGAACCAAACATGTACACGTGTGATGTCTGTGATAAAGAGTTTAGTGACTCCTCTCAGCTAGAGGTNGATGGATTAAACATCTACATGCATATGTATGGTGTATGTGATAGAGTGCTTAGTGATTCTTTTTTACCTGCAAAGTTATTCAAGGAACAAGATTCATCAGATGTTACTCAAAATAATTTAAGTGCTTCAGTTGACATACGTACCATCTTTAGGTCCAGTACAGAAGACCTATCAGTTCCTCCAGCTAGGGCGAAGTCAGACGACTTGCAGAAAGACGAAAAACCACACATGTGTACTGTCTGTGGTAAGAGTTTTAAACGCAGAAGTCAGCTACAAATTCATATCAGGATACATACAGGAGAGAAGCCGTTTGAGTGTGGTTTCTGTGGCAAAGGGTTCAGTGCCGAATGTAATATGCAGGCGCACCTAAGAACACATTCAGGAGAAAAGCCGTACAAGTGTGATGTTTGTGGTAGACAATTTAACCGGACATCTAGTCTGCAAATACACATGAGAACACATACTGGGGAGAGGCCATACAAGTGTGATACGTGTGGTAACAAATTCACTCACGCCCGTCACCTACAGACACACTTATGGACTCATACAGGGGAAAAACCATACAAGTGTGAAGTCTGCGACAAACAATTTAATCAGACGTCTATCCTGCAGTCACACATGAGAACGCATACAGGGGAGAGGCCATACAAGTGTGAGGTGTGTGGTAAAAGTTTCGGTCGCTCAGCCCACTTACAGAAACACATTAGGACACACACGGGGGAGAAGCCATACACGTGTGATGTCTGTGGAAGGGGGTTTACACAGGTATTTAACCTACAGAGACACAACAGGATACATACAGGGGATTCGTCATGCACATTTGCTGACAATGTTAACTCGTTCACCCCTGAAATTTCATAATAAACTATTCTAACCTTTGAATTGGAAGAGTTCAAATGTATCTTCAGGGGTGAATGAGTTAAATAGCAAAATTTGGGAACATAGTGCAGATTATTGTTTGGCTTTAGCAATGCAAAACAGTAGTCCTATAACAGAAATGTTATTTCTGATATACATGTACCACGCTCCAAAATGGGAAAAGTGTTTAACGAGACAATGTTTCAAAAGAAATTTTCAACAAACATTTTTATTGTTCTGTGTCAAGGCCAATCACATAAAAAATGTGCTGAATCCTGGGTCCGGCCCTTTCTAACAGCCTAGTATTGATAACAAAATTGCTATTTATGCAATGCCTATCGCGTTTTCTTTGATTTAAAGACACATTATGCTGTTCCAAAATTTGAATGTTTGATATAATTATCAGCTTTTGTTGGACTTTGAATGTTTCTACACATGTTTTCTCGCACCTCAGACAGAGATATCCCCACGCGCACCTCAGACAGAGATATCCCCACGCACACCTCAGACAGAGATATCCCCACGCCATACCCTATGCTAGATTTTTCTATCTCGTCCGATCAGTCTGGTACCTTAACGTGGAATTTTTACACTGTGACGTATTCATCCGCACGTAGACGGCTTTACATTTACAATCTGCATTATAAATGTTGTGTTTTGTCGTTATATGTATTGTTTTGATGTTGTAAGATATCTGATGTTGTAAACAACAAATAATCTACACTGTGAAATATGTTGTCTTTTTTGTAAGGACGGACTACGTTTTTACGCGGAAGCAATCTAGTGTACGTAGCTTTAGTAGTGTAGAGGCCATTTTTATTTGAGGCCCCAGACAGGATACTTGTTGTCTTACGCAAAATTGGATAGATTTTTTTTTAACTAAAAGGTGTGTGAATTTTTTTTTTTCCTGTAAATGCCTTAAGGGCTCATCCAAGTTCGATGACCTCTTTCAGCGGACCCCATTTGGCAGAGTTATGGCCCCTTGAATAATGAAAAACATCATTATCTGCCGCTCTTCGTTTCCGTGCAATAACTACAATAAATGTTGAACGATTTTCTTCAAACATGATCACAGGGTTAAATGCCTTAAGGGCTCGGCAAAGTTCGATGACCACTTTCAGCAGATCTAGACCCCATTTGGCAGAGTTATGGCCACTCTTGAATAATGAAAAACATCATTTTCTGCCGCACTTCGTTTCCGTGCAATAACTACAACAAATGTTAACCGATTTTCTTTAAACTTAGTCACAGGGTTAAATGCCTTAAGGGCTCGGCCAAGTTTGATGACCACTTTCAGCGGATCCCATTTGGCGAAGTTATGGCCCCTTGAATAACGAAAAACGTCATTTTCTGCTGCGCTTCGTTTCCGTGCAATAACTACAACAAATGTTAACCGATTTTCTTTAAACTTAGTCACAGGGTTAAATGCCTTAAGGGCTCGGCCAAGTTTGATGACCACTTTCAGCGGATCCCATTTGGCGGAGTTATGGCCCCTTGAATAACGAAAAACGTCATTTTCTGCTGGGTTTTGTTTCTGTGCAATAACTATAACAAATGTTAACCGATTTTCTTCAGACTTGGTTCGATTTGGACGAAAATTGGTATATAGGGATATTAGGGAACTGTGAATTCAACCGCATCGGTTTTGTTGCCATAGCTACCACACGGAGACTTCTGATTGGTCGAAATTTAGATATTGTTAGATTTTGATGAAAATTTGTATATAGGGATATTAGGGTACTGCGAAAAAAAGCACATTAGTTTCGTTACCATAGCAACCACACGGAGGCTTCTGATTGGTCGAAATTTAGATATTGTTCGATTTTGATGAAAATTGGTATCGGGGGGGTATAAGGGGGCTGGAAATTCAACCGCATAGGTTTCGTTGTCATAGCAACCACACGGAGGCTTCTGATTGGTCGAAATTTAGTATGTACATTTTGTGTACATTGTAGGTGTACTATGGCAATGCGATGGCAATGTTAACCTACAATATGTCCTGCAAGCAGGGGATATAAATTCCACGAATTTGCTTGTTTTACTTAATTAAACAATGAATGTTTTAACAAATGTTGTTATGGTCCTATAACACACATTACTTTTGATAGCAAACTTAATAAAGCCTGGCAGGACTTTATGTAAGTTTGTCAGCAATAGAAATGTCACAGTGTGTTATATTTAGGACCATAACAATATTTGTTAAAAAAATCATTATTTATATTATTTACATTTTGATAGAGAAGTTACGATTTATTTAGTTATTCCAAACAGTTCTTTGAACAGCAATATAAGTCTTGACAACAATGAAATTGATGATGTCACAATAGAGATTGATGACGTCACAATAGCAAAAATGTTATAGTGTCACAACATTTACCTTCTCAATGCATTGCAATGGAAGGATGCAGAGCAAATATGAATATAATAATTATGAATGAAGTTATTTCAACTAATGTTAATCACTCTTGTTGGCCCGGATGTAAACAGATTGAACAGTCGGTGCTGATGTGCTGGCTTCGTCAACACACAAGGATAAAATCGGAAGCAAAATTTGACATTAACAGGCACGGAACCAAGGAGACATCAAAGCAGAAGGGAAAACTTCATGAAGTCATCCAAACATTACAGGCAAAATCTTGATGAGGTGTCCGGGTAAACACATCCTGCACCTCATGTGGCGCCTGATATCATATCTCTATGATATCCAGAAAGAATAAGACATAAACGCCCCCGCTCATGCACGGGACGCGACGGGACGGACATGGGCAACACTATATGCCCCCCCCCCCCATTTTATGGCGGGGTCATAAAAATATTTCTACCACAGACTTTCAACTCAAACGACCATATAGCTGTTAATGGGACGTTAAATAAAACCAAAACAAACCAACTTAAGAGTTACTGTTGTCAGCATTCTTTCTAAAATATGTCAACATAATCAGAGAAGATGTAATTATTATATATAAACATATTGTTAGTTTCAGCCGACATAATTATTGAATCATATTTCGGAATAATTTTCCTGAGATATTGATCTTGTAAGAATGCGACTCGGCTATATATCATGCTAATGCTCGATATTATATTGCTGATATTAAAAAAAACTAGAACGATGCTTAATCATTGATCAACCTAATTACTATAAGCTATCAGTACATTACATGATAATTACTATAAGCTATTAGTACATTACATGATAATTACTATAAGCTATCAGTACATTACATGATAATTACTATAAGCTATTAGTACATTACGTGATAATTACTATAAGCTATTAGTACATTACGTGATAATTACTATAAGCTATCAGTACATTACGTGATAATTACTATAAGCTAT